AGCTTTCATTGTGTGTATCAATAGCAATTAAAGTAAATAAATAGATAAAACCAAGCCAGATCCTACCCTTCCCCCTCTTCCCCAGAGCTGACAGACACTGCTGGATTCCATGGCTGGCCAGGAGATGATCTGATTTTTAGCAGGAGGGCAGCAGGATGCCGGCCTCATACCTGCCCTGGCTTCGCTGCTATCTAAACAGCAAATATAAGTTTTTTAAAAAAGGAGGTGGGGGGGGGCACGTGCTTTCAGTTGGGTAACAGGAATTTAGATCTTAGCTGCCCTCTTGCCTCTGAGCCTTCACTGCTGACCTCTTGATTGTCTGTCTGGAGGGGACACCAATGACCACTAAGAAGCACTGACGCCGACCAATGACCACTAAGAAGCACCCCGGTGTTGCCACACACCCCGGTCGCCGCCGCCTCCGAGTGATGCCAGATGAACTCAGCCACAATTAGGAACGAGGCGTTCAGGGGCTTAGGAAGGAGCCAGGAGCAGATGCTTATTGAATATCTGGGCTTTAAAGAGACAGAGACCTGCCCTCCAATGATTTAATATTTCATACAAGATAAGATGAAAAAATGTGCCTGTCCTAAGACTGTGCTGGTGAATGGGAATACAGAAATAAGGGGGAAAGGCTCCTAAGAGCTTTATATGTAATATGTGGAATAGGAGTCAAAGAAACAGTGAAGGCAGTTTTTGATGTATTTTTCCTAATGATCTCAGATCAAAGGATCTCGCCTTTATTAGTGATTTGCTCCACGCTGTTTTGAAACCTTATGCATGTAAAGTGGTTCTTTAAAGAACTCCAAAGCTGATCTGGCCATCACTGATAAAACAGACTCTAAGATAGAAATAAATAAACAAATAATATGAGAGAAGAAAAAAAAAAGACTTGAATAAAGGTAAGGTATACTTCTGAATTGGAAATATAAATACTGTAGCTACACTGATAATTTTCCCCAAACTGATCTACAGGTTTAAAGTATTTCCAATTAAAATTCAGGTGGGCCTCTTAGTTTTCCAGGTGCTTAACAAAACGATTCTAAAGTTCACCTGCAAAAATAAAAGAAGAAGAAGAAGGAGAACACTACTAATGAGAAAGGCTAGTCCTACCGAACTATAAAGCTGTGGGATTAATGACAGTGTGACAGGGCAAAAGAGGCAGATGAATGGAACAGAAGCCACAGCCCCAGACTGAGAACTATGTTGACACAAATGTAATATTGTAATAAATAATGTATCTCAATCCCAGCACTTTGGGAGGCCGAGGCGGGTGGATCACGAGGTCAAGAGATCGAGACCATCCTGGTCAACATGGTGAAACCCCGTCTCTACTAAAAATACAAAAAGTTAGCTGGGCGTGGTGGCGCGTGCCTGTAATCCCAGCTACTCAGGAGGCTGAGGCAGGAGAATTGCCTGAACCCAGGAGGCGGAGGTTGCGGTGAGCTGAGATCGCGCCATTGCACTCCAGCCTGGGCAACAAGAGCGAAACTCCGTCTCAAAAAAAAAAAAAAAAAGAATGTATCTCAAATCAGTGGAAGGGGAAAAATTAGATAAGTGGTTGGCAATCTTGGGGCAGACAACTGATTAAATATATGCAGAAAAAGGCAATTTAAGTCTTTTAACATCACACCAAAATAAAATTTGAGATGGCTTAAACAGTTGAATAAAAATAAATCAAAACCACACCCCCCAAATCCTATAATTTTTAGAAGTAAAGGAAAGTAAATAATCAATTCTCAAGCCAAAAAAAAAAAAAAAAAAAGAACACTTAAATACCTCTGAACAAACCCCTCAGGAATAGCGCTCATTTTAAAAATGACAGATTTCTGTGGTTTGGTTTTTTGGAGACAGGGTCCTGCCCTGTCCCCAGGCTGGAGTGAAGTGGTATGATCTCTGCTCACTGCAGCCTTGACCTCCTGGGCCCAAGTGGTCCTCCTGCCTCAGCCTCCTGCATAGCTGGTACCACAGGCTTGCGTCACCGTCACCGCACTTGCTCATTTTTTATTTTTTCATTTTCAGTAGAGATGAGATTTCTACAATGTTGCCCAAAATAGTCTTTAACTCCTGGGCTCAAATGGTCCTCCAGCCTCAGCCTCCCAAAGTGCTGAGATTGCAGGCATGAGCCACCATGCCCAGCCTTAAAATCACAAATTTCTGTATGTTCCCTGCAAAAGCAAGCAAAAGGAAATATAAATGCTATAAATACAAGGAGTTAAAAATGTTATTATAATTGAGTAAAAAACAATCATTGAAAAATTGTGCCACTATCTGCAATAGCAAAGACTTGGAACCAACCCTAATGTCCATCAGTGATAGACTGAATAAAGAAAATGGGGCACATATACACCATGGAATACTATGCAGCCATAAAAAAGGATGCATTCATGTCCTTTGCAGGGACATGGATGAAGCTGGAAACCATCATTCTCAGCAAGCTAACACAGGAACAGAAAACCAAACACTGAATGTTCTCACTCATAAGTGGGAGTTGAACAATGAGAACACATGGACACAGGGAGGGGAACATCATACACCTGGGCCTATCAGGAGGTGGTGGGCAAGGGGTGGGAGACCATTTGGACAAACACCGAATGCACGCTGGGCTTAAAAACTAGATGACGGATTGATAGGCGCAGCAAACCCCTGTGGCACATGTATACCTATGTAACAAACCTGCACGTTTTGCACATGTATCCCAGAACTTAAAGTAAAAACAAAAAATAAATAGAAATTGTACTAAAATACACATAAACACAGAATTTACCATCTTCACTGTTTTTCAGCATACAGCACATTCAGCGTCATGCTGCCCTCACCACCATCCAGCCATGGAACTCTTCATCTTGCAGAACGGACACTCCATCCCATTAAACAGTAACTCCATTCCCCGTCCTAGTCCCGGCAACCACTATTCTACTTTCAGTCGCTATCAACTTGTCTACTCTAGGTACTTCATAGAAAGGGATCTTACAGCGTTTGTCCTTTTGGGACTGGCTTATTTCATTTAGCATAATGTCTGCAAGGTTCATCCATGTTGTAGCAAGTGTCAGAATTTCCTTCCTTTAAAGGGCCAAATGATATTCCACTGGCACAGACTAAAGTTTCTGTCCACTGTGAGTAGCGTTGCCATGAACATGGGTCTACAAGTACCTGCTGATGCACCTGTTTTCAGTTCTTTGAGGTGTATACCCAAGCTAGTTCCATTTTTATTTCTTTCCCATTGTGTTTATTTATTTCTAATTGATGCATAATAACTATACATAGTTTTGAGGCATATCTGTAATATTTTGAGGAACTGCCATACTGTTTTCCACAGTGGCTGTGCCATTTCACATTCCCACTGATAGTACATGGGGCTGGGCGTGGTGGCTCACACCTGTGATCCCAGCACTTTCTTTGGGAGGCTGAAGCAGGCAGATCACTTGAGGTCAAGAGTTCGGGACCAGCCTGGCCAATATTATGAAGGCCTATCTTTACTAAAAATTAAAAAATGAGCCGGGCCTGATGGTGCATGCCTGTAGTCCCAGCTACTCAGGAGGCTGAGGCAGGCTGCAGTGAGCCAAGATCACATCGCTGCACACCAGCCTGGGCTACAGAGTGAGACTCCATTTCAAACAGGAGACAGCACAGCACACAACAGTTCCAATTTCTCCACGAGGACACTAACACTTATTTTTTAAAACTTATTTTTAATTTTTGTGGGTACATAGGTGTATTTATTTAAGAGACGCATCAGGTGTTTTGATACAGGCATACAATGTGAAAGCAGCACATCATGGAGTAGGCAGTATTTGTCCCCTCATGCATTTATCCTTTGAATTACAAACAATCCCATTACATTCTTAGCGTTATTTGAAAATGTTCCATTAAGTTACTGTTCACTATAGATGCCCTGTTGTGCTGTCAAGTAATAGGTCTTATTTATTCTAACTTATTTTCTACCTATTGACCAGCGCCGCCCCCCCACCCCGCCCAACTGTTCTTCCCAGTCTCTGGTAACCGTTCTACTCTCTCTGTCCATAAGTTAAACTGTTTTGATTTTTAAATCCCATGACTATGTGAGAACATGTGATGTTTGTCTTTCTGTGCTTGGCTTATCTCATAGATCTCCAGTTCCATCCATGTTGCTAATGACTGGATCTCGTTTTCTTGTTCATTCATCTGTTGATGGACATGTAGATTGCTTCCAAATCTTAGCTATTGTCGATAGTGCCGCAACAAACATAGGACTGCAGATACCTCTTAGATACACTGATTTCTGTCTTTTGGGTACGTACCCAGCAGTGGGATTGCTAAATCATATGGTAGCTCAAGTTTTAGTTTTTTGAGCAACATCCAAAACGTTCTTCATAGTGGTTATACTAATTTACATTCCCACCAACAGTGAACAAGGGTTCCCTTTTCCCCACATCCTCTCCAGCATTTGTTCTTGTCTTTTGGATATGCCATTTTAACTGGTATGAGATGATATCTCATTGTAGTTTTGATTTGCATTTCTCTAATGATCAATGATGTTGAGCACCTTTTCATATGCCTGTTTGCCATTTGTGTGTCTTCTGAGAAATGTCTACTCAAATCTTTTGTCCATCTTCTAATCAGATTATTAATTTTTTTTCCTATAGAGTTGTTTGAGCTCCTTATATATTCTGGTTATTAATCTCTTGTCAGATGGCTAGTCTGCAAATATTTTCTCCCATTCTTTGGGTCGTCTCTTCACTTTACTGATTGTATCCTTTGCTGTGCAGAAGCTTTGTAACCTGATGCGATCCCATTTGTTCCTGCTTGCTTTGGTTGACTGTGCTTGTGGGGCATTGCTCAAGGAATTTTTGCCTAGACCAACGTCCTGAAGATTTTCTCCAGTGTTTTCTTATAGCAGCAACATAGTTTGAGGTCTTAGATTGCCTTAATCCATTTTGATTTGATTTTTGTATATGGTGAGAGAGGTCTAGTTTCATTCTTCTGCATATGAATGTCCAGTTTTCTCAACACCATTTATTAAAAATATAGAACTGCTTCAGGAATTTGCATGTCATCCTTGTGCAGGGGCCGGGCTAATCTTTGTATCATTCCAATTTTAGTGTATGTGCTGCTGAAGCAAGCACTATTTTTATTTTTAGAGACAGGGAGGGTCTTGCTCTGTCACCGTGGCTGGGGTGTAGTGGCATGATCTTGGCTCACTGCAGCCTTGACCCTCTGGGCTCAAGCAATCCTCTCACCTCAGCCTCCTGAGTAGCTGGGACCACAGGCATGTGCCACCACACCCAGCTAGTTTTTGTATTTTTAGTAGAGACGGAGGATGGGGTTTCGCCATGTTGCCCAGGCTGGTCTCAAACTCTTGAGCTCAAGCGATCCACCTGCCTTGGCTCTGTTTTTGTTTTTGTTTTTAAATAGCAGCCATCCTAGTGGGGGTGAAGTATCTTACTGTAATTTTGATTTTCATTTTCCTAATGACAGAGATGTTGAGAATATTTTCCTGGTGCTTATTGGTAATTTGCAGAAATTATATTCTTTGGAGAAATTTCTAAATATTTCACACATTTAAAAAAATCAAGCTGTTTTGCTGAGTTGTAGGAGTTCTCTATATATTGTAGATTTTAAGTCCTTATCAGTTACATGATTTTTCAAGTATCTCCTCCCATTCTGTGGCCTGCCTTTCCACCTTGCTGACTGGGCCCTTTAATGCAGAGAAGTTTTAAATTCTTATGTACTCCAATTTATTTTTGTTGCCTGAGCTTTTGGTGTCATAGGCAAGAAATCATTGTCAAATCCAGTGTCATGAAATCTTTCCCCAATGTTTTCTTCTCAAACATTACAGTTTTAACTTTTTTTTTTGAGATGGAGTCTTGCTCTGTTGCCCAGGCTGGAGTGCAGTGGCATGATCTTGGCTCACTGAAACCTTCGCCTCCTGGATTTAAGTGATTCTCCTGCCTCAGCCTCCTGAGTAGCTTAGATTACAGGTGTGTGCCACCAAGCCTGGCTAATTTTTGTATTTTTAGTAAAAATGGGTTTTCATCATGTTGGCCAGGCTGGTCTTGAACTCCTGACCTCAAGTGATACACCTGCCACGGCCTCCCAAAGTACTGGGATTACAGGCATTAGCCACCATGCCAGGCAGGTTTTAACGCTTATGTTTAGGTGTTTAGTCCATTTTGATTAATCTTTGTATGTGTTGTGAAGGTAAGCGTCCCACTTCATTGTTTTGCATGTAAGTACCCAGTTTTCCCAACCCCATTTGTTGAAAAGACTGCATTTTCCCCATTGAATGGTCTCCATTGAATGGTTTCCCCATTGAATGGCACCCTTGTCGAAACTCATTTGACCCCCTATATGAGGGTTTCTTTCTGGGCTCGTCTTTATGCCAGTACTGCAGTCTTGATTGCTGTAGTTTTGCTGTAAGTTTGAAAATCAGAATCTATGAGTTCTTACTTTGGTCTTCTTTTTCAAGACTGCTTATCCCTTTGATACTCCCTATGAATCTTACGAGGGACTTTGCTATTTCTGGAAAAGGATATTGTAAAAATTTTAATAGGAATTGCACCGAATTTGTAGATTGCTTTGGGTACGATTGACATCTTAACTATATTAAGTCTTCCAATCCATAAACAAGAGATGTTTTTCCATTGATTGGTGTATTTTTTTCTTTCAGTAACATTTCATAGATTGCAGTGTACAAGTCTTACAAGTCTCTTCTCTCCTTGATAACTTTATTTCTATCTTACTCTTTTTGAGAGCATCATGTTTTATTTATGGTTCTAAAATACTAGAAAGTAATGCCAAAGGGATTATCCCACATACCTAGTGAAATATTACACATCCATCAGAAATACTTGTAAATTTATAAAATGAAAATATAAGTGCAAGCGGCAGTATATAATTAGAAATAGTATGATCATAAGAAGAATCATTCTCAAAATATCCACAGTGTCATTGCTGGGTGGCATGGGTATGAAATTTTCTTTTTGAAAACTGACATATAACAGTTGTGCATATTTGGAAGGGACATGTGATATTTTGATACCTGTTAACAACATGTAATGACCACGTCAAGGTAACTGAGATGTCTGTCACCACCAGCATGTATCTTTTCTTTGTGTTGGAAACATTACAATCCTTCTCTTCCAGCTCCTTTGAAAGATATAATCAATTATTGTTAACTACAGTTCCTCTACAATTCCTCTTGAATTCTAGAACTTACTCCTTCTGACTGTATTTTTGTAGCCCTTCCTCCTTTTCTCCCCACCTTCCCTTCCCAGCCTCTGTAACCAGCATTCTCCACTCTACCTCCATGAGATCCCTTTTTTTTTTTTTAACCTCCCACATGAGTAGGATCACTTGATATTTGTCTCTTTGTGCCTGGCTTATTTCATGTAATACAGTCTCTTCTGGTGCCATCCATGTTGCTGCAAACGACAGGTTTCTATTCTTTTTCATGGCTGAATAATATTCCATTGTGTATATGTCCTACATTTTGTTTAGTCATTCATCCATTGATGGACACTTAGGTTGATTCCATTTCTTGGCTATTGTGAGTGGTGCTGCAGTAAACACGGCAGTGCATGTGGCGCCGTGAGATGCCGATTTCCTTTCTTTTGGATATATACCCAGCAGTGAGGTTGTAGGATCATATGGATGTTTTTTACTTCTAAAACTTCCTTGTTTTTTTCAGCATTGCCAAAACAAGCACATAGTACTTTCGGAGCTATTACAGGTAATCTTAGAAGTGATTATTTTATTTTATTATTCTATTTTTGAGACAGAGTCTTGCTCTGTTGCCCAGGGTGAACTGGAATGGCATAATCTTGGCTCACTGCAACCCGTGCCTCCTGGGTTCAAGTGATTCTTGTGCCTCAGCCCCCTGAGTAGCTGAGATTACAGGTACATGCCACCATGCCTGGCTAATTTTTTGTACTTTTAGTAGAGATGGGGTTTCAGCATGTTGCCCAGGCTGGTCTTGAACTCCTGAGCTCAGGTGATTTGCCTGCGGATCTAGGATTATAGGCGTGAACCACCACACCTGGCCAAAAGTAACAATTTTTTAAAAACACATTATTTTTTTGAGACAGGGTCTCACTCTATCACCCTGGAACCTAGTGGCATGATCATGGCTCACTGAAACCTCGACCTCCTGAGCTCAACTGATCCTCCCACCTCAGCCTCCCACGTAGCTGGGACTACAGGCACCCACCAGCATGCCTGGCTCATTAAAAAATTTTTTTTGCAGGGACAGGGTTGTCCAGGCTGGTCTCAAACTCCTAGACTCAAGGGATCCACCCATCTTGGTCTCCCAAATTGCTGGGATTACAGGCATGAGCCATCACACCTGGCCTAAAAATAATTTTTAAAAACAGATATAGATTAAGTTGCTGCAGGGAGAATCCCTTGATGAACACTGTCTCTTAGGCACATGCTAAGAACAGAGAAAGGGCTATAATGGGAACCAAGGAAATCCGCCCCACAGGACTGAATGTGATGGATAAACGAGATCAGGTGCGTAAAAAACACAAATAAAAGTTAGCTGAAATGAGCCATGAAAAACGGAACCAACAGATTAGAGGAGGTTGACTCCCTGTCTTAAATCAGTTCTGAACCACCTGAATCTTCTCCTGTAAGTCTGTCATCCTTGCATTGAGTCTGTACGCTCATTGAAGCTATCAGGGCTCAACTGGTCTCCAGAGTACTTTCCACACTGATGAAACAAACTCTCAGTAAATGCAACCCCGAAGAGGCTCATAATGCAACCACGTCACTCACACTGGGACATATTTTCATCACCTGCTCAGGAAGGGGCTGGACAGAGGGGACAGCTCAGCATGGGGAGAGGGACTGCCTTCAATAAGCTCCCGCTGGCCTTTTCCTCACCTGTAAAAAGGCGTATATGTGATCTCCCTAACCCCTCAGGTTAAAAGAAGCCAGCATCATATATGGAGTGCACTCCCCACACTAAGTTGATGGGGAGAGCTTGGGAGGGACTGAGGCAAGACACAACTAAACGCAGCTCTGGCTATCACAGCAAAATGCAGGAAGCAGTGGGCACTGTCCCACTAGAAAACGCTGGCCACCTGCCAACAGAAAGACCCCTTCAGCTGTGACGTGAGGATGCAGCAGAGCCTCCTGAGCAATCTCTGCTTAGACAACCCTCATCTGGGCAGGCTTCCTCTTCCCGCCTGGTCTGTGGCTCGGATCACAAGCTCTCCCTCGGTCCAGCTCCTAGAGAATGGCCGGCATGCTGTTCCATCAAATGTCTGAATGAATGAATCGAGCAGTCGCACCCAATGCTGATCTTACAAAACCACCTTGCCACCCTTTACATCTCTTCCCTGGAGCACATAATCAAGAGGGATACACCGTGAAATCATCTCAAGAACAGCACTCCCCACTCTCCTGAACACAGACCCCTTCCCAGGCCTCCCGTGATGCACTTGCTAAGGAGTGGACGCCTTCCACTCACCACCTGTGATCAGGCTCACGGCAGTGTCCTGAAGCTCTCCTGAGGCTACGGCTGCATGTGAAGGGCTTGAGCGAGGACTGAGGAAGGGCGCTCTGCTGGGCCTGGCCCTCCCAGTGTGCCTTCCACAGTTCGATGGGCCACCAAGCCCACAGTGCTCAGCAGTCTCCCGTCGAATGCTATAGCTACAATAATCTTTGGACTAGACAGTAATGAAGGTTTGAAAAGAAATAATTCTTTATTTCATATTTTTTTTGGAAACAAGGTCTCCCTATTTTGCCCAGGCTGGCCTTGAATTCATGATTCTCCCCCTCCTCAGCCTAGTGAGTAGCTGAGAAGTCAGGTGCACGCCACTGTGCTTGGCTTTAAAAGGAGTTGTTCTTTATTCTCTGATCCCTCTGTCACTGTTTTATTCTTTACTTAAAAACAAACTGCCTGTAAATACATCCCACTCCAGGTAGTATTTCTGAATAAAACTTTCAAATTTTCATTTCTACATTCAGGTGAAGGTTTTATTTTTTAAGTCTCTCCAAGCAATTTTGTAGGCAAATTAAATATGCTTCTGTTTTAGTGAAGAAGTTGTATAGCAATTAACAGAAAGCTGGTGTTCTGAACCTAGAGAACTGTGACATCATGACCACAGTGCACTGACACTGT